TGTTGTAGCTTGTTAAAAATGCTTTTTTGTTTTTTATATATTTTTTGTTTCAATTGAAGATTTGATAAATTGTTCTGAATGCGCTTTAATACAAATAATCCAAGCTTAACACTCAAACGTCAAGGAAATGTATCAAAAAATAGAACTCTTAAATGCACAAGAAATGCACAAAAAATGTTGTGTTTTTAATTAAGTTTTATATTATACACGTTTTATTAAAAATTTAAAACAGAGCTAACTATTATTATTATTTATGTACTTTTAATAAATGTAAAGTACAGTAACTATTGTTACTGTACTTTACATTCATTAAAAATAGTTCGAGCAAAACTGAGTTACTTATTGTTAGTCATGGTTGTCTTTAGACGCTCTTGCAGAAAAATTGATTGAAACTGGGATTATGACTGAAGCAGAGCAAAAGGATATAGGAGTTTGTCTGGAAAAATTGATATAGGGACAATATTAAATCACGACGAAACACCACAGTTCATCAGTTTTGGTGTTGATGGAACTCCTTCTGGTCTTGTTTTTGCTTCAAAACGGAAAACATGCTGTAAAATGATAAGAGAGAACCGCGAATGCGTCACCATACATCTTCTAGTATAATTTTCAGGTAACTATTGCCATATCACATTTTTTCATAAATATTTATAACAGAGATTGAAAGGATGACATCTTATCATATTTCTTTGTAATTATAGAAGACCTTTGTGTCTGTCAAGAGCTCTTTGGTATTGTTGGAATAACTTAAATCAAATAGCTCCACAGGATCATAATTTGTTATTACATATATATAAAGAGTTTGAAGAATATCTTGTTGAAAAAAAGTGGCACGGTCAATAGTTTTGCAATCTGATGGGTATTTTTCACGCTTTAATTTCGATGTCTTACAGTTTTTACAACTAAAAAACATACGTATGTTCTTAACTCTACCAGCAGGGGCGGATGCAGGATTTTTGGAAGTTTGAGATAACTAACTTCCAGACATGGAGCGAACTCAAAACTTTTATATGTTTATAGTTATATCAAATAAGGATACTTTGCATAAAATTGAGATGATAGGAGCCTGGGAACAAAAAAGCCCCAAAATTTTTGCTACACCTGCCCCAAACGTGAGAGCAACAAGTTGATAAAATATTTTTTTTACTATTCTCAACTAAATCTATATTCATCGAGAGTTTTTAAAATTCATACAATAATCTCTTAACGTTCAAAAGTTATAGCCACATAAAGTTTGAATCCCCCTCAATTTGAGGGGGTTACAAATTTTATAAGACCATTATTATTGAACGCTAAAAGGTTGTTTTACAAAATTAAAAATTTCTCGATGAATATAGATTTAGTTGAGAAAAGTAAAAAACTTATTTTATCAACTTGTTGCTCTCACGTTTGGGGCAGGTGTAGCAAAAATTTTGGGGCTTTTTTGTTCCCAGACTCCTGTCATCTCAATTTTTTGCAAAGTATCCATATTTGATATAATTATAAACATAGAAAAGTTTCGAGTTCGCTCCATGTCTGGAAGTTAGTTATTTCAAACTTCAAAAAATCCTGTATCCGCCCCTGACCAGATACCATTGGTGGGACACAGCTTTTAAACCAACTCAACAAAAACCTTCATTATGAGTATTGTGGTATAAAAGAAAACATATTTACTGATTTCACCTTACTAATTATATAATTTTTTATGATGGCTGGCCTACTAACAGTTCAGAAAATTAGGCCAAAAATTTCTAAAGTTTTTAGAAGGTTACACCAAGAAAGTGACCTTATAGTTCTTATAACCATATTTCAGAATATGCTCTTTAATTAATTAGTTGATCAACTTAGTTAAGAGCCAATAGTTTCAAAGATGTATAAAAATATTTTTAAACTGTCTTCAAGACAAATAGAGCTATATGTAAATTTTTATTTTACAAACAACTATCTTTACTTGGTTGTTGATAGAAAAGTAAATTTTAATAGAAAAAAGAAAAAACTCTCCTTTAAAATTGAGTTTTTAATCCAAATACATATTTTTTGTTAATCGGCCCCAAAAACCACACAGAAATGCTACATTGGTTAACGAAAAATATTTTAAAGACTATTTTAAAGTATGAGTATGCCGAAGTAAGTAAGTATGCCGAAGTATGACCTAGATCTTTACAAAAAACTTTGCAAACTTAAATGAAAACTTAAAGTATTTATCAACTATGATGTCAAAAAGTTTAAGTAAGTATGCCGAAGTATGACCTAGATCTTTACAAAAAACTTTGCAAACTTAAATGAAAACTTAAAGTATTTATCAACTATGATGACAAAAAGTTAAAAAATTTTTAAAAAAATATTTTTTGTATAATTTTTACGAAATTATGCTAATTTGGTTATTTTTAACCGTTTCCAATCAAAAAACTTTTTAAATAAAAAAATCTTTTTTGCTTCCTGTTAAGACTTAATCTATGAGTTAAAGGTACTAATGTGAGTGTGTGGCTTTTGGGGTCCATGAGCTTTTGGGGCCCGTCTACCTATAGCAGCAGTAGCGCAACTCAGAAACAACTCAGGCAAATAAACCGACGTTAAAGAATATTTTGTAAATCGCAATCACGTTTAGAACGTATATGTTAATATAATATGTTAATATAATATGTAATATGTTTCCAAAAATTAATTCGAAATTAAATAAAATATGTCATATTAAATTTTATTCTTCTTGCTATCGACATACGTTACAACTTTTTTTTATTATGCTTTATCTCTTTCTATATTCCAAATGTTTTTAGTAGATGTTTTGTAAAAAAGCAATAGTTTTTTAAATTTGTATTTTTATTTTCGAGAAAAAGAAAGAATAAAAAAGGAACACATTGTAAAGACAATATAGAGTTATAAAACAAATAAAGCAGTAATAAAACAAGCAAAGTTTTTTCAGTTATTTTTATTTTCGATGATTATTTTCAAGTGGTGATTTTTTTCGACGATTATTTGCGTACAAATTTTTATCTCTTAGTACTTTATTTCTTAAACTTAATTTTAACTTAAATGTAACGGTTTTCACCTGAATAGTCGTGCCAAAGGCCAAAAGACTTCAAAAGAAAATTTTAAGGAATTATCAAAAGCAGCAGCATCACCTTATCAAAAGAAATTACTACTTTATTGAAAAAAACAACAACTGAACCCGTGGAGCTAGAGAACACTCACAATGAACCACAGAATCATGATAAAGTTGACACAGGCAGTTAAAAAAGTAGACAATACAGAAAAATAGTATTGAGTCCGATGCAAAAGATTGTGAAATTCAAACGAAAAATCTGGTTATGAAAGCGGAGGATTTCAGTGAAATTGATTAAAAAAAATAGTAACAGAAATAGAAGAACTTGTATTAAGGCTTGATTTAATGAGTTTAGTTGGTTAATTTATGATCGATTACTGAAAACCTGCACAAATATGATTCATCTCCTGGGGTAGTGTTCAAGCATAAGATCTGGAAAGGATTTAGTACATGGAGCAAATCTGCAGCAGCACACGAGGACTCCAGTGTTCATAAGGCTGCAAGTGCTCTAAAGATTGAGGAAGAAAATATAAATTTTACAGCAATTAATGCTCAAATTAACGAAATGTATATGGAGAAGCAAGCAGTCCGAAGAAAAGGCTTGCTAGCTCATTTCGAAACATTGAAAGTATTGCTTCGACAGGGTGTAGCTATAAGACGTGATAATGATAAAAAAAATCCGATATTTACCAGTTTAATTTGGATAAGAGTAAAAGTGACAAGGCATTAGAAATATTGATGATTGAAAACCATTAACATTCGATAGAAAATTTATGGAAGCAATTACAAGAGACAAAGAGTAATACCTAAAATATTACGCGATTCAGCAATTACTGAGAAGCTTACATTGGGCGGTGGAATGATTGATTGATTTGGGCGGTGCAATGATTGATTGATTTGGGCGGTGCAATGATGTCAAATCAGAGTAAAAACAAAAAAATTTTATTTTGATGCTGTTCAGAACATTTTGAGTGAGAGATTTGAACAAGATGGATTAACAGCTGTAAAAAATATAGAAGTTTTGATTTTATCGGTGAATAAACAAGATTCCCCACCGTTTTTATTTGGAATGCTAGTTTTTAATGATGTTGACATCTTGGAACAAAAAGTTGAGTTTAAGGGGCTACCAGCAATTATTAGTCTGTACAATGCTATTGCATCAATCAAAATACAGAGTGTTTCAGAGTGGCAACAATTGCAGATATTTTCAATGCAATCTCAGCTGCAAAAGTCGCCAATATACAAAAACACACAAATTAATGAAGCTTTACTACACCATGTCTCTATCGAAATCATCGTGTGAAAAAAGTTTTAGCGTAATGAGGAGAGTAAAAACATGGGTTAGGTCACAAACTGGAGGCAATCACCTAAACAACATCATGTTTGCTCAGATAAACAAAAAACAAAATTAATTTTCAATTTCAAACCAAAATATATAGACAGGCTTTAGTTATGAAACGACATTTTTTAGAATTATATACCTACTAAATACCTACGATATTTTAAAATTCTGCATGAAAAATCTGGTGCAACTCTTCGCCATGGCGAAGAGTTGCTCTTATACAAAATGAGGAAATAGGCATATAAATAAAGAAGGACTTAAAATATTTAACTTATTTTTTCACAAGACATCGAATTTTTATTTATATTTCTATATTTAAAAGAATCATATTCGGTTTTCATAAATAAACAATTTATTGTATTTTTTTTTTCGGTTAGTCCGGACTAATTCTAGATTTGTCCGGAAAACTACACAAGTCCGGATGATTTTATTCAAAAAAAAGTAGGCGCCTATATTTTATAGAATTTTACAAACTATGTATATGAACACTATTTCAAAATAAACAATATCATTAAATATAATAAACAACTCTGCTATCATATGATACTTGTCTCTTTGCATTCTTTCACAGTTTCTCAACGTTCTATTCTAATAGATGTTTTTAATAACTTGTGGCTATGAAAATAGCCGTTTTTAAAAAATTCAACGCAGAACAGCTCATCAGTATGGTTCTTCATGGTCTTACTTCCTAAAATAGTTAATTACTTGTTAAAATTGATTAAATTATTTCTTAAATTTATTTTTAAAAACATAAAAAAAAAACAAAAAAAAAACGCAACTTTGAATTGTTAATTAACCAAAATTATGAGATTGCCTGACCAAAAAAAATCAATCAAAACTATTAACAATATTAATGATAAAACTATTTTACCTTTATTTTAAGCAGTTATCAGAAGAACTGTCACTTTGCTTTCTTAAACTATTTTGTTTTCACTCTTTTTTTATTCATTTTATTTTTTTTGCAAAAGAGGTACATATCAGATGTCATAAACAAATAATTAGCTGTATCCCTAGTGTTTTCTGCAAAAGAGGTTAAACGAGCATGACCAATTCGAGCAGTTTTGTTTTCCTTATTTCTTTCCTTGCTTCTGGCTTCAATAGCACTCTCAGACAAAAAACTTATCGGATACTTAAAATACCTTATAAAAGAAGTACCATGAACTATCACTCTATGCACAGATTGTGACATAGGTATGGTTTTTTTAAAAATTTATCATTAGTTATGAGTGCAAATAGATGTTCAGATTTCTGTTTGAAAACCTTTATATCCGGTCTTTTAGTTGTTCTGTTTATATCATTGAGTAAATCTCGAAACAACCTAATCATTCTGATATCCAAGTTTAAAATTCTCCCTGTTACAATCGGGTTATTAAAAAATTTGCGAACAACATTTCCAGTATTGGTTGTTCCACATCCTTTCCTGACAAAAGAAACCCTTAGATTCAGTTGTATCTTGAATAAATGCTGGAATTTTTATTTGTTTTCAATAAATTCTTTACTCTTTTGCGATGGAATATTTCTTCCTTGCTTAACAGCTGGGAGTTTACAAGCAGTATTGAAAATCCATACAGCGCATCCATAGATGAAGACTGCAAATTCCAAGTTTCAAAACATGCTTGTTTAAATAAATATTTTTTTCCAAATAGTTTTCAAGTTAAACTCCTTAGAATTTGCAAGGCGTACATGGCAGGACTGAGATGAAATTTTTTTTTTTAAGCATATTTGATACAACAGCGTTTAGTGTTTTGCCATCATTCATTGTGGTATAAATAGTTGACAAACTAGACTTTACTACAAAAGTACTTTCACCAAATTTAAATTCAATATTTTTCAATAAAAAAATTTCATTTTTCAAATGTTCAAATTTTTCCTGAATAAAACTAGCAGTCTCTTTTGCAAAACAAAAAAGATGATGGGTTGCATCTAGACTATTTGGAATTAAATTTTTCCATATTATTTTTTCTCCACTTCGGATCTCCAGTAGTACAAACACTATACTATACACAGAGCAATCATCTACACCTCTTTTTATAGTTGCTGAATTTTGAAACTCAGATTGATCACTTTGACCATCACCTCCTACTTTGCAAATAATTTGTACATTATCACGCTCTTCTTGTGATAAACTCATTATGCAGTTACTTTCATAATCCAAAAGATATTCAAACACTCTATAACTGAATGCTTTATCATATGGCAAAGACTACATTTTACTTCGGTTTCAGAATATACAACCTGTTCTGGATATGTCAATTTTTTGTATTGCTTCAACTTGGTTAAACCTGGAGGAAGAAGGTGACGATTATGAGTCACTATATTTTTAAAATCAGTCCATGTTCTATCTGTAAGTTTCAAATTACAAAGAGCTTGCAATGACAAATTTGAACCATATAAAATAGCCCTAATTAATAGCAGTTCTTCTTCATGTGTTCTAATATCTTTTTCAGAATCTTTTTCTAATCTACACGCACAAGTGTATATATATATATATATATATATATATATATATATATATATATATATATATATATATATATATATATATATATATAATATAATATATATATACTATAATGCAATATTTATTACTTATTTATAATAAATCAATATAGAATATATTATACTCACAAGAGATATTTGCATTGTTGATTTTGATCCAAAAAATGTTTTTATTTAGTAAGAAAGAACTTTTTTCTTTTTCCACACTCTTTAAATTTTTTTATTAAATTAAAAGCCAGACTTTTGAAAATGTTGAAATTCACAGTGCAATCAGCATAAAGTGATAAAAACTTGGACTGCAAAAATATAGCACATTCAGATACCTTTTTACTCGTGAAAAGATGCCTTGGAGGAAAATCATCAGCCAGAAGTTTGCTAAGATTAAAAGTAACCATTTTTAAAAAATTCAAAATCACGAGGAGAGCCAAACTTAGGTTATAACTTAAAGACTAGAAAAGAATGTTCCGCCCGCATCCAGTTTTTTCTTGACAAAAACTAACTAACCGGTTTTTAATAAATCCACCTCTTTTGAATTGATTCTATAGCATGTTACTACAGAGGTAGCCAGAATATTATTTCACTTATAAAAAGTCAATTTGTTTGAGAAAATTTAAAAAAAATAAAAAACTGGCTACCTCTGTAGTAACCTGGTCTAATCGATCAATCTTTACAGACACCCAAAAACAATGATCCAAACATTTTTTTTTTCTTTTCTTGGTTTTTAATTTACAAAATGTATCATTTATTAGGAAATGTGCAAAAAAAAATGAAGAAATTTGAAAATTATCTTATGTAATTTAAAGATTTAGTGAAAACATGTGTTTTTTTACCCCTGAAAATCCCGCACCTAAAAAGGCAAATTTAAAAAAATTTTAAAAAAACTTTTTTTTATTAACTAATACTAACTTGTTTCAGTTAAAAAATATTTAAAATATTAAAATTTAAAATTTTTTTCTGAAAAGTAAGTAAAATCCTATTTCCGCTTCGCGACGCATAGTGCGCCAATTGAAAAAAATTAACTAAAAAAAAAATTAAAAAAATTTAATGTTTTTTTTTTTCACTTTTGAAAAATGATAGCTAAACGCAGAGTGTCACGCAACTTTTTTATATATTTTAAAAAGACCTTTTGGTTTTTGTCTGCTATTAAGTATAAAGCTTAAGTTCTGAGTGGACTAAAGATTTTCGGCATTTTTTTTCCCAAACTAGGTTTTTCTTTATTCTGATCAACTTATCAAAAGTTCAAGCAATTTGGAGGTGTAACTTCTACAGACTGACTGATCCTCAAAAAATGATTTTAAGACAACATAAAAGAATGAAATAAACTACGAAAACTAGAAGAATTTATTAAAAAAAAAAAAAAAAAACTAACCATATCAACGAATAAAATAAAGCCTAGTACCATAAACTTGAATCCTTTCTTAAATTGAGTTATACTCTTAGGGACAAATCTAGTTTGAATCTAAGAGATAAGAAATGCTTTCAATAGTAATAAAAAATAATAAAAGTGTGGTTTTTGAAAAAATTAACGCAAATCGAGTTAAATAGGTCTTTGATATCTTTTAATCATTATATTTTTGATCTTTTATTAAAACCATGTGTTGTGACAGACTTAAGTCATTAATATTTCTAATCGCATATTTTTTTTGTCTTTTTTGTTTCTTTATTTGTTTAAATATATATATATATACATATATATATGTATATATATATATATATATATATATATATATATATATATATATATATATATATATATATATATATATATATATATTAAATATGTTTTCCCTCCTGTTGCAAGGAATATTTACAATTGTTAAATTACCATTCCCAAACATTTAGGTATGTATTGCGGTATACTGCCTTTGTTTGTTATAAAAGCTAGCTCTTTTTTTGTCGATGCAAATGCCTGAAAGCGAGCATTCTCTATTAAAATTACTATTAACTTTAAGATTATAGTGTAAAGTATAACTATTTAATAATCATCTGATAATATGAATACGCTAATTTAATATTATTAGTCGAATTACGTCATTTTCTAAGCTTTTCTATTTTAAAGTAGTTTCTAGGCTTTTCTATACGCATTTTTTTTTTTTTTTTATTTACTAACAACGCGTATTACGGGTTGCTTACTGCTAGTGATGTATTACTTTGGTTAAGCCTAATACTTTTATCTAATAAGTTTATTTACTGTGGTTCATTTGCGTGAAATACACGTTAAATACATTACTTTTGAGTCATCAATAATTCTTTTTAATAGTTATTTTTAAATTGTTTTATTGTTGAATAAGAACTATTATTAATGAAAAAATAATACTGCTCAGTATCATATCTTGAGATTTTATAACACATTAAGTTAATATGTTTATCGAATATAATACGAAACAAAGTAATGATGGAATAAAGTTTGGGAAATTTTCAGTATTTTCTTTCACTGCTGTAAATCTAACAGTTCACAAAATAAATTTTATTAAGGAATTTAAGTGACTTATATTTTCATACATTGAGTTTAAACTTTATAAAGCAATCGACGCAGTCAATTATTGTAATAAAAGGATATAAATATATTCTGTTGCGTCAAAGTTTACTAAAATAGTTGACATTTGTGCAGTCACTGCGCTTATCCCTAAATGATGACGTCAATGAATGTCCGATTGAGTGAAAAAACAAGTTATCAAAGTGACATAAAACACAGTAAAATAAAATCCTGTATAATATAAGCAATATATACAATAAAAAGTTTTTAAAATTTAAAAAATCTCTGTGAAAACATTTTTTTTTTTTTTTTTTACAACTTCAATAAATTTACACATCGTTACGTTATAACTACATGACATAATATAATGCAACGTAAAAATTATTACATCATAATACCACATATCCTAATAAAAAGTGGTATCACATATCACATACCACATATCACTTTTAACGTTTAACAAGTATAACTAAGTATAGCGTAAATTAATAGTGTTTCTTAACATAAAAACTGCCAGTATCTTTTAAAAATAAAAGAATAAAAATAAGAAAAGTAAAAAAAAAAACAAGTAATTTTTTATTACTTCAGATATATCCATGCTGTTGTAAAGGAAAACTCGTAGAAGTCTATAAAGATTTATCATCGATTACCTCGTTAAGTGGTTAAATAAAGTTTATTTCATTTTTATATATAGTCAAAAGTGATTAAACAATATACAGCCAATGATACACTTGAATTTTAGTATAATTTTTAATATAATTTTTAATGTTAAGTTTAATACATGTCGATATAATTGTTTATATTTAGTATGAGGTGTTTTAATTCATTTTTCAAGGTGGCAGGATTCTTTAACACTTTAAGTTCTATATATTTGGATATTATTTTGTTACATAGGGACGGACCCCGGTAGGAAAAAGAAAACCATGTGAACTTTGTTGTTCTTTTAGGCAGTGTGAACAGTGACCTGTTGCTCTTGTTATATATTTATTAGAGTTTACTTGAAAGAAGTTATCTAAAAAATGCGATGGGACTAGTTTAAGTTTGTATTTAAGTATAAATTGTACATTTTGGTAGATGTTAATTTAGTAAACATTTAGTGCATTCAAGATTTTTAGTAATGGTTCAGCACGGGGGAGTTTATCTTTATTATATACTAATCTTGATGCGCGTTTTTGACTTATATAAATAGTATTTAGTTTGGATTTGTGTGTGCTTACCCATGTAATATTAGCGTACGTAAGATAACTTTGGATGTAAGAAAAATAAAGGGATTTAAGATTATGTTGGGGCAACATAAGTTTAACTTTGTAGAGTATACCAAAGAATTTTGGAATTTTGGTATTTATTGTACTTATATGGGCTCTTCAAGATATATTTTCGTCAATAAGTATCCCAAGAAATTTAGTTGTTTCTGTTCTTTCAATGTTTACCTTATCTATTTTTAGTTAGGGAAGGATAATTGGTATATTATTTTTTTGCTTTTTGAAATGAAAAAATATGTGTTTTGTTTTTTGTGTATTTTGTTTTTAGTGTAACTATTTAGTGATAACTTATTTAATTTCAACCATATATTTAATTTTTTAAGGCCTTTGTTCATATATTCATAAAAGTCTTTGATTAAGTTCGAGGAAAAAAATGAGTGTCATGGGCAAACATGATTACATCAAGTTTTTCCTAGGCTTTTGTAAGATCTTTAATATATAGAAGAAACAGAAGAGGTCAAAGAATGGAACCTTGAGGGACACCGCACTCAACTATTAATAGTATTGAGTGTTTATATTTATCTGAAAAAACACATTGTTGTATGTTGCTTAAATAGTTTTTGAACCAGTTAAGAGTTATGTTTTTTATCCCATAGCTTTCCATTTTTTTAAGTAAGATATTATGATTTACAGTATCAAACGCTTTTGGCAGGTCTATAAAGATGCCTAGAACTTACTGTTTTTTATCAAAAGAATAACTTATACTATTAACCAGATACAAACCAAACCAAAACCAAATTGCTTTTTATTTTGACTTTTTAAATTGACTTGAATTTTAGTCGATTAATGTATACATTGATTCTTCGTCGATTTGAATTTTAGTCGATTAATGTGTCTTCGTCGACTTGAATTTTAGTCGATTAATGTATACATTGATTCGATTTTAGTTGTTATATATCTGACATCACTTATGTGTTGATATTTTAATAATTTATTGGACTTTCGATTAAAACTACCCGTTTTTTCATAAGTCTTACTGTTCTCTTTAAAACCTAACTAATGTGTCACCTAGTCTAGTAGGGGTAAGTTAAGCAGTTTTAAAAAAAATAATCAAAACTGAGCTTTCGAACACAATGAAGTTATGTTAAATTGGAATGTTAAATTGGAATGGCCGTACTCGAG